ATCGAGCCGACGTGCTTGTGAAGCTCAGGAAGTGCGGATTCAGAAAGCCGTTGCCGAGCATCCATACGGTGAATCTCCGCTCTCTACCAAGAACAGTTTCTTTCCCCAGGCAATCTACCTCATGAACAATTAATTACTGTTACTGTTATTAATTACGGAGATTATCCGGTTTGAGTGAACGCCGTGCGAATTGTCTGCCGCTGCTCTCCGGTCCTATTGTTTTATTTATTTATTTTATCATGTTATTATTTTAGTTATCTTATGCTATTTTATAGTGTCTTCAAGTTGGTGAAAACCGAGAATTTCTCTTCTGGCTGAGTTCCCCTCGATTGGTGCAATATTAAATTCAAGCAGTCTACAATCTGAGGCTAAAGCTAACCTGGGAATCTTGCTCCGCTGCTGCCGTCGGAGTGGTGCCTACACCGGGCCTGGTGTAAGGCGTCTTCTGGATTAACATATTGCCGTTTATGTCGTTCTCTGGGTGTCGGCAACGCGGTGTTGTGATTGCTTCATTGGAGTCCTTGCCACAGAATTTTCCTCGGACTGCATCTGGGCTGTAAATTTTGGATAATTATTATGCCACTGAACTCCCTTGGATCTGCCCGGTGAGTGTCTATCTCCATGGGACATCCGACTATGAACTTGTACTCTGTCTGCTGTTTATTTCTGACTGTTCTGGGAATTATCGTCACTTGGAATAGTGATTGACACTTCTCTGATGTCTCCTCATTTCTACCGACTATGGCAATTACGTTCACGTCCTCTGAACTTATCCGATTGAATGATCGGTCAGTTATGCTGCCATCAGATACTTTTCTACGATGCGCTGGTCTGGGGATTCTTCGTCGATCACGATATATTCACCGTGGCGCTCGTTCTACACGGCGTACACGGTCGACTATAACTGCAATACCAGGCAATATTCCTGTAATATTGTCTAATGATGAGCGACCGTCGCGGCGACACTGTTTATCCCCATGCGGGACGAACTTGAATCACCTTCGCTCGCTACCAGAGGCGTCGCAGCATGACTTCTCATTACAAGAGTCAAATAAGCTTGAGATGAAAATGGCCTTGCTAAATGCAAGATCAGTATTGAACAAAACATTTTTACTGAATGACTTCTTTTTATCAAATAATTTAGACTTCTTATTTATTACCGAAACCTGGCTTACGGCTGATGATCTAAGCCCTCTATTTGAACTTTCACCTGTGCATTGCAACCATTTTAACTGCCCCAGAACTTCTAGTCGGGGTGGAGGAGTTGCTGTCATTTTTAAGGACCTGTTCAAATGTAAACTTTTGCCCGTTGATGTCTACTCTAGTTTTGAGGTTTTAATGTGCAAGGTGGAGCTTTCCAGTCCTCTACTCTGTGTTTTGATATACAGACCTCCAAAAGCTAACAATGACTTTTTAAAGGAGTTTTCAGATTTTTTATCAGACGTGGTTCCAAGTGCTGATAATCTCTTGATTGTTGGTGATTTTAATATACATCTGTGTTGTCCTTCGAGACCTCTTTCAAGAGATTTTGTTCAACTTTTGGACTTTTTCAATCTCACGCAATACGTCTCAGGTCCCACACACAAGCTGGGTCATACTCTTGATCTTGTTTTATCATCAGGTTTTCCTGTCAGTAATGTAACTGTTAGTGAGGCCGGACTGTCTGACCACTGCCCGGTTTTGTTTTACAGTGTGATTACTTATTCTAGCCCTGTAAACCAGTCTTCTACTTATCTTTCTCTATCTATTAACCCCTTCATGGCCCTGCAGTTCACCGAAGCTTTTATAGCCCTGCCAGCTCACAGTAGTGTCCTGGTAGCACAGGATATAAGTGTTGATGAGTTGACAAATAGTTTTAATTCCTCTTGTTCAGCAATCTTAAATGTAGTTGCTCCTCTCAAATCCAAAAAGACTAAACCAAAAAATCAGCCATGGTTTAATAACAACATCAAAGCTTTAAGGAAGGATTGCAGAAGGGCAGAAAGAAGATGGAAAAAGGATAAGTTACAAATTTCATATCAAGTTTTGCAGAGCAGCTTGTCTAAATTTCAGGAAGCCATCTCACAGTATGTGGAAAATAATGTTTTTTTAACCTTAAACCACATAAACACATTTCATTACACCAAATACACCAAATACTGTTATTTTTAGCAACATCATATGACCCCTTTAAAAGCAAGCAGCTGCGAAATCTACGTGGGGAAATCTTTCACCTTTAAAAAGTGAAAGTGAAAGTGACATGATATGTGGCCAAGTATGGTTACCCATACTAGGAATTAGTGCTCTGCATTTAACCCATCCTAAGTGCACACATACACCGTGAACACACACCCAGAGCAGTGGGCAGCCATTTATGCTGCGGCGCCCGGGGAGCAGTTGGGGGTTCGGTGCCTTGCTCAAGGGCACCTCAGTCATGGTATTGAAGGTGGGAGAGAGCACTGTACATTCACTCCCCCCACCTACAATTCCTGCCGGACCCGAGACTCTAACTCGCAACCTTTGGGAATTTTGAGAATTTACGCGAAATTCTCGATGATCATATTAAAAATACTGGACTTTGCCCACGAAAATTAGCCACGTAAATGTGACTGTGCCATAACTGTTTACAACACGAATTGGCTTTCTAGAAGCTTATATCACATATATCTAGTTATCAGTGTGGGTGTAAACGATGCAAAACGCATATTTGTCAACTAGGATTTTGAATAGGTCACAAACTTGTCACTATAGGATACAGTCAATGCACATCTCAAAATAACTGTTAGTGCATAAAACATATAAAACTTAACCCCTTTGAGAGAGAGAGAAAAAATGTCCTGTCTAAGCATAATGCTAAAATGTCTGAACATTTGCTCAAGGCAGTGTGAGTTTGCTCACTTCTGACATGGACATTCTTAGACACTACATGCCAAAGTCAATTTGATTTCCTGTAGAGCTGCTCATGTTTCCCCACTGAGACAACAGCGGTGTGACTGAAACATGAACTGCTATCACAGAAGAGCATTTTATAAAAGCATCCCGTGATGAGGATTCCTCCTCATTAGTGTGATCGTGCGAAAACTGCGTTATGGGCGCAAAAAGCGTCTTTGAAATGTGTTTCATACATCATTAAATCTAAATCACTCATGCTGCTTTTGGAACTTTGTGGCCTGCCTGTTTGTGGAAAAACAATAAATAATGAATAATAAATAAATAAATGAAGACACAGACCAGACAGCCTTCAAATTACTGAAGTGGATAAGGTTGTTTTTATATTTGAAATATCATATTTTATTTAGAAGACTTTTTCCATCACAGGACTCATGTTAGTTTAAGATGATGAAGATGCAGCGAGAGAGCGACAGAAACTTCTCTCCACAGATATGCCGTGGGGTCCAAAAGAGTGAAAAAAGACTCTATTTTAATACATTTTCATTGCAAATCATGTGTGCAAAACACAATCTGAGTGATGATTGAAAATCTGTATAAAAAAATAACATGAACAATGTCACTCGTTTACTTTAGTTATCTGGCATATTTCTGCTTTATTTTACATTTCTTTGTTTTAAATTTTCTAATATCTCAAATGCTCAATTTTAATAGAAAATACAATTTCCAGATTTTCACTGTGGTCTCGTACTTTTGAACCTCACTTTGTCTGCTTTTCATTTCAAACCTGGAAGGAAAGTTGACATCACAATACACTAAAGCCATTTAAGAATAGCTCAGAAGATGTTTGCTTTTCTCTCTTTTTAAGGTGTAGTACATTTAAATCTTGCAGTACATACCATTTAATATCTCAGTGGGTTAATTCATGGATTAGCCAAATGATTACAAGCAAACCAAGCCTAAGCTTACTGAGTTATTAATGCCTACGCAGAGGATTTTGTGAAATTAGGTTGCAACTCTTAGACACAAGATGATATTAGTTTCATCCAACTCAGTACTTGTTAATTGCCTGGAGGCTGTGGAAATGTGTTTTACAGTTTGCATTTTAAAAAATGCAATGCAAATATTTATTTTCATGTAGTTCTTCATGTAAAACTGAAGCATGTAATTTCTGTGCCACTTGCAATACCGAACAGAATTGCAAAAATAATGACTATTCCAATCAAACAACGTCTTCCATTGGATTCCCATTGCAGTTTTGTTTGGTTCCTCTAGTGGCTCTGAAATAAAACACTTCACATTTAGTTGTATATAATAAAAAAAACATATTTGAATAGTTCTAAAATCATGTCTGCTATTCAAAATTACTTGTATATCAGAACACATTAATGTCTGACATTTGTTCCATAAATGGTTACATTGGAGGTTTACTTTTGTTGAAAATATCTCATTATACCTCATTTTTCAACATTGCAAAACCCATATTTGTCAACTATGATTTTTAATAGGTCATGAACTTAAATCAATGCATGTCTCAAAATATCTTTTATTGCATGTATTTTACAGTTTGCATTTTAAAAAATGCAATACAAATATTTATTTGCATGTAAATCTACATATTCTCAACTATTGCTAGGTAAATGTTTATTTGTATATCCATGTCTGACTTTCAGAGGTTTATTTTTGTTGAAAATACCTCATTATACTTCAGTTGGACCTTAAGGGCAAATCTACTGTGCCTTCAGCTGGTGACCAGCAGAAACACGAGAGCTTATACGAGACCCAGCATGCGAGCCGCCCACCAGCGGCATGGCATGATGACCCTGCAAACCCGCCGACAGCCGTGGTAGTTGTAAGGCCACGGCCAGTAGCCCCCGTGAGGCTCACATACCCGCTCACAATGGGTGTAACTGCGATGACATTCTGTACAACAAATGCCACGATGGTCCAGCATGGGATCGAACACCATGTGCCCCTCTGAGCCCTCCTGATTCCGCTGGAGAGAGAAGAGAAAGCAGAGCATCGTGCAACTATTTCAGTGGGACAGCAATTCTGGTTCACTTGGTGCTTGAGAAACGGTTTTAAAAAATTAGTATTATATACGATTAAATGCTAGTTTTGTTAAGTCAAGTCCGGACTGTAAACTACTGTGCTCTACTGTTCAAACGTTTTTTTTTTATGTTTTTGAAAAAAGTATTTTATTTTCAACAAGGCTGCATTTATTTGATTAAAAATACTGTAAAGTTGTGAAATATTATTACAAAAATACAGGAAAAACAGTAATATTCTGAAATATTATTACAGTTTAAAATAAGTGGTTTATGTTTGAATATATTGTAAAATGTAATTTATTTCTGTGATCTGCAGCTGTATTTTCAGCATCATTTCTTCAGTCTTAAGTGTCACATGATCTTCAGAAATCATTCGAATATGCTGATTTGCTGCTAAAGAAACATTTCTGATTATTATCAATGTAAAAAAAATAAAGAGTTGTGCTGCCAAATATTTTTGTGGAAACTTACATTTTATTTTTCAGAATTATTTGATTAATAGAACGTTCAAAAGAACAGCATTTATTTGAAATATAAATATGTTGTAACATTTTAAATGTCTTTACTGTCACTTTTAATCAATTTAATGCATCCTTAATGAATAATAAAAAAAAATATTATTATTATTTTCATCTTATCCAAACTTTTTTAAGCAGCACAAATGGTTATATTAGATTAAAATTAGGTTAAAAGGGCTATATTAACAGCAAAAACTGTTACAAATGTTCTCCAAACGTTCTGACAAGGTTCTCTCAAAATTACAAACAAAAATTTTCCAGTATGTTAATAGGACGTTCATTCAAAGTTATCTGTTCTTAAATAATGTTCTCAAATGTTTGCACAAAAACATTATTTATACATTGTTCATGTAATTTTAATCAATTTAATGCATCCCTAATGAATAAAAAACATTATTATTATTTTTATCTTACCCAAACCTTTTTAAGCAGCACAAATGGTTATATTAGATTAAAAATAGGTTAAAAAGGGCTATATTAAAAGCAGCAAAAACTGTTACATTAAAATAGAAAAGAGTTATTTTAAATTGTAATAATACTTACATTTACATTTAGACCGTTAGCAGACACTTTTATCCAAAGCGACTTACAAATGAGGACAATGGAAGCAATCAAAATCAACAAAAGAGCAATGATATGCAATATAACAAGTCTCAGTTAGCTTAACGCAGTGCACGTAGCAAGGTTCCCTTTCAAGGGAACTTCGAACCGCATCCTCTAGGGGCCGCTATGGGGAAACCTAGAGGACGCAGTGTCTCGTTCCCTACTCAGGGAACCATGGTTACATACATAACCTGTTAATCAGAAGTCAGAATTATAATTGTATAATAAATAAAAAGAAAACAAATAGATAGAATGCAAAAAGATTAGAGAAGCAAGTGTTAGTTTTTTTTCTTTTTCTTAAGAAAACAAGCAGTTAGTAAATAAATAGAGTGCAAGTCTAAACGGGGCAAGTTATTTTTTACATTAATGCCTTGAATTTTATGCGAGCAGCTATTGGTAGCCAGTGAAAATAGATAAACAGAGGTGTGACGTGCATTAAAAATTAATCTTGCTGCCGCATTCTGGATTAATTGTAAAGGTTTGATAGAACTGGCTGGAAGACCTGCTAAGAGAGCATTGCAATAGTCCAGCCTGGACAGAACAAGAGCTTGAACAAGGAGTTGTGAAGCATGTTCCCAAAGAAAGGGCCAGATCTTCTTGATGTTGAATAAAGCAAATCTGCAGGACCGGGCAGTTTTAACAATAGCCTACTTCACAATATTAAATATTTAAATTTTAATAATACCTCACAATATGTTTTTACTGTATTTTTATCAAATAAATGCAGCCTTGGTGAGCAAAAAATACTTTTTTTTTTTTAATATCAAAAAATCTTAATCATTCCAAACTTTTGGCTGGCAGTCTGTGTATATTTATAGCAGGTTTATGCATTACTTTAATAATGAAGGCATTGCTCACATGATAAGGGTTTTCAGGGTTATAATCGGGCCCTGTCGGCCGCTCATCCTCTCTTGCTGAAGTCGTGGAGTTTCGACGTCTCGTCTGTTGTCGATTTAATCCACCTGTACTCTGCCGTCTCACTCGTGGCACACTTCTCCTCTTCCTCAGTGCTTCAGAAACAGCCAGCAGAGAGCGAGAGTGAAGATAAGCAGCAATAAAGAGCGAGACATTTCTGAGCTTTATATGGTAATCACTGCCTCATTCACAAATGTCACGGTCAGTGTGTAATGATCACAGTTTTGCATTAAATATCCCACCTGGGATCAAGAAAAAGTGTGCATTTGTATCTAAAAAAAAAACATGTGTATGTGCTGTATGAACCCAGCTAGCAGGTTCTCTCAAAATTACAAACAAAAATTTTCCAGTATGTTAATAGGACGTTCATTCAAAGTTATCTGTTCTTAAATAATGTTCTCAAATGTTTGCACAAAAACAGTATCTATACATTGTTCATGGAAAACATTTTCTGAAAGGTTTAAGTTGGACGTTTCTCTAACGTTTTTTAAACTTTACTTCTAACTACTTTTCAAAATTTCAACATTCAAAAAGTAACGTTACAGTAATGTTTGTAAAATGATCAAATGGAACGTTCCCTTAATAACCTTTGCATGTTATTACTTGTTCAGAGAACATTCAAAAGTAACGTTCCCATAATGTTTGTTAAATGACAAAATGTCGTTCACATAACCAAAAACATTCAGAAATAACGTTTTCATAACTTAGTGGGGATGTTAGCAATACATTCTTAAAACATACTTTTTTGTTAGCTGGGTATCTGGTCTTTAAAAATGTTCTGAAAACATTATTTATACATTATTCATGGAATGTTTTATTTCTGAAACATTTTAGTTGGACGTTCATCTAATGTTTTTTAAATGTTACTATTTGTTTCAGAATGTTCAGAGAACATTCAAAAGTAACATTCCCATGATGTTTGCACAATTATAAAATGGAATGTTCCGTATAACCAAGAAAAAACTTTTTAAAACATTTAAAAAACTGGACATTTTGAATGTTCAGAGAACATTATTCAGAAGTAATGTTTTCATAATTAATGGGAAATGTTTTCAGAACGTTTTGCCAATGTTCCCATTAAGTTCTGAAAGTTCTCTGAATGTTCAAAACGTTCAGTTTTTTTAACTGTTTTTAAAAACTTTTTTTTTCTTAGTTAGTAATGGAAACATTCAATTTTTATAATTGTGCAAACATTATGGGAACGTTACTTTGCAATGTTCTCTGAACGTTCTGAAACAAGTAGTAACATTTAAAAAACGTTAGATGAAATTCCAACTGAAACATTTAAAAAACGTTGCATAAAAAAAAAAAAAACATTTTTGTGCTAACATTTTGAGATCATTATTAAAGACCAGATCACTTTGAATGAACGTTTTACATTACTGGAAGAAAATTTGTTCTTAACTTTGAGAGAACCTTGCCAGAACGCTCTGAGAACATTTCCTGTTAGCTGAGATTGGCTTGATGAATGATGTTATACGGCTCATACTAAACTATTAATCGTACAATAAAGATCAACACAGCTTGAACTCCATCACTGCTGTTCATGTGTTGCAGGTTTATTAATGGAAATTAAATGAAACACCTCTGGAGTTTGCAGGAAGATGCCAGTAAATGGGAAGGTCTCCGCAGAATCTCAGTATATCAGGGCTCAGAAAACTGATGTCCTTCAGTGGTTCTTCAGATGCGATCCAGACCAGAGACCCCACGTCAGATTTCACCGCCACAGTGTTGTCCTCCTATCGGTAATAAAACAGAACAGTGGACAGAACACTGAGACCAGAAACTTCCAGGCTAACTCTTTTTTTGATTGGATGGATCAATTAAAATGTAAAATGTATTTTATAAAAAAAAGGTTTGAGCTGCCGTTAATGAAGATGCTTTTTGCACACAAAACCTTAAATGCCTGTTCACACCGAACATGATAATTATAACGAGAAAGATACTTTCAAAAGTCAAAAAAACAAAAATTTAAAAGTAATTGCAGCTGAGTTTCTAAATTGATATCTTGCAATTCTGACTTTTTTCTAAGAATTGCAAGACTTTTCCTTGCAATTCTGAGTTTATATTTCAAACTTCTGACTTTTTTCACGCAGTTGCAAGTTTATATCTCACAATTCATACTTTTCTTCTCAGAGTTATGAGTTAATATCTCACAATTCTGAGTTTTTTTTTTTTTTCAGAATTACGAGAAAAAACGTCAGAATTGTGAGATAAAAAGTCATTATCTTTTATTTAAAAAAATATTATTTTTATTCTTTTTTAAATCCTGTGGCGAAAATGGGCTAGCAGAATGAATAGAATAGAATAGAAGAGTCCACACCACAACTATAACGATAACAACAGAGGAGTGATATAGTTGAAATCCCTTTCACTTTTTTTTCCAGCTGATGAATGACAAAATGTTGAGAGCCAATCAGAATCCATTCTACTTTAAAGAGCTTTAGTATTTAAAGCGACAGACGACCAAAATGCAGCGCGCTTGTAATAAGAGAACGTTATCGTATGTTGGTGTGGACACAAGTTAATCGTTGTCTTTATAGTTATCATTTTCAGTGTAGATGGCTTTTAACACATTGATCCTGACATTGAGCATTAGCTCAGCCAATGACATGAGTTTGGGGGCGGGGCTATCAGTTTGACAGACAGTAGATGGGGGCGTGGCCAGGAAACGGGTATGAAATTCTGTTTAGTGATGCTGATGGTGCCGGAATTACACACTAAGCTGTAAGTAAACATTTTGAGAGGAAAAAATCTGAGGAATTTCTTGAGAAAGTTTATACCTAGGCACAATTACAGCTAATTACCTTTCATTTAGCTTGAGACACGTTTTCCCTCCAATTTAGTCTCATTTATGTATGTGTATTCATGTAGCAGATGCTTTTATCTGAGGTTTGTGAAACATGATGGACATGTAGATTCACTTCTGCAGGACTATTTTTAGATATCATCAATTTCATTCATATTTCATCAAAGTGGAATGCAGATATGGTCAAAATAGCCAATGTATAGTTAATGGGTTTTTAGTAAGCGGTCTAATATGTAGAATGTAGCATGTGGGCATCAGAAAGACTTTAATGGTGATCATGTTGTTCCTCACTTCAGAAAGTTCAGATCTGACTTGTGATTTGATGTAACACTTCTCTTGTCCAGGAAACTTGACTGCTGTAATGCCCTGTACAAGAGTGGAAATAATGGAGTTATTTTATGAACAGCTCTGAAATGAGATGCACACGTTTATTATTATGTGCTACTTACAGCTTTAAAGTCTTGAACTTCCACAATCTTCCCATCTCCAGCATCTGAATCATCTTCTATCTTTATATCGATGTTCCTGCTGTAGTGAGTCCTGGTCGCCTGTCAACACCAATATACCAGGGTTATTACGTTTTTTAAATTAAGTGAGTTTTTGCTTAAAACACGAAAAATATCCGCCAATGGGGTGATTTAAAAAAGTGAAAAGAAGATTATTTTTCTTGTGCCACTGGCAGATATTTGGTCTTGTTTTAAGTATACATTCACTTAATTTCGGTGCAGACAAAAATACTAAGTTAGAAAATAATTTAATAAAATAAATATTAACTCTTAAATTAAATTAAATATAAAAATTCCCATGTACTAAAATAACTAAACCTGAAAGAAAAAGTAATAAAACTATACAGATTAAACAATAACAATGATAAAAATGACAAAATGACAAAATAAATTAAAAAAAAAAACTAATATTAAAATGATTAAATATAAAAACAGTTTATTTCAGTTATTATTTCAATCATTTCTTATTTTACCTTAGTTTAACTTGATATACTAGAATAACTAAAACATAAATAAAATTTTATAAAAACTATATAGAGATTTAAAAAACTGTGTGTGTGTAGTTATAAAAAAAATAAAAAATAAAAAAATATATATATATTTTAAATTTTAAGATTAAAAATAATATTTTAATATTTTAAAAATAAAAAAAATGTCAAAACACACAACAAAATTAATTCTAAAAATAACCAATTTTAAAATGAATAAATGAATATGAATAAAATAAAATAAAATATTTCAGCTAGTTGCTAAGGCAACATTTCTCATTTAGTTTAAGTACTATAGTAACTAAAACTAAAACTGAAATAAAAATGAATAAAACCTAAATAGACATTTAAAAAACTAAAACTACTAAAAATGACAAAAACACACAACAAAATTACAAACATTTAAATAAAAGTAATAAATATAAAACTACAAACTAATTCAAAATTACTAAAAACTGTAGTAGTATCTCAATGATACTAAAATAACACTGCAACATACAAATATTACATATTTGAATCTAGTGGTTTTCATCAGGGAGAAACGATGCTGAATAGAAATAATACAACTAACAATATAATCGTGCATACTTGTCAAAAGGAGGAGAATATGCTTCCAAAAAAAGAATAATTTATTATAAATAATGTAATGTGTGACATTTTTTTTTCTTTTGTACATTAATCAGTTTTGGGTCTCCACTTAATCTGAGTCCTGAAGCAAACCTACTGTAGTTGAGAATCACTGATTTAATCCATATAAAACATACTGTATAATATTGGTGCATTATTTTGTGCAGAGGTCCAGCAGGTCGTTAGCTCACGGGTGCAGCTCTTACTGGCCGTTTGTGTTTGTGTTGGGAAATGATGCATGCTGATCTGTTTGCAGTGTTAACACTGCATGATTATAACCCAGCACACAGACCTCTTTGTTTGCCATCTTTAACCTGGCGGATTTTTTTGAAATACCAGAGGTGCCTGAAATCAATGCACACTGATGGCTGCAAATGCAAACACGCCGCTGCCTGCTTCATTGATCATTCCTGACTCTTTGCTGAGACAAACTGCAATTTAAATATTCTCATTCAGGCTCAAACCTACTGTGCTTTAAATATCGACACATCTGCGCTATTGCATCAGCATGCATTTTAGAGAAACTGACTGTGTGATTATGCAATGCGGAATATTAAAAATGTATACTTTAAATATAGCAGTGTTACAAAATACCCCTGAGGAATGCATGCATGCAAATTAAACCCAAAACACAGAACAATTTGCTGCACATCAGGAAGAACAAATAGTAAAAAAAAATTATTATCACACAGTCTCCATCCGGTTAACTCGTCACAATAAATTCTGTCATTCCACTTCGATTTACTTCATCAATAATGAACGTTTTATTGCAGGCACTGCTTTGGTTTGCTTTTAAGGAGCTCAAGTTTTAGTTTTTGTGGGCTGAATTTGATAGAAGTAATATTTTTGTGTAGGAACTTGCTTCTCATATTGCACTCATTTTGAGCCAAACTAGGTTAGACTACTGTACTCTCTGGTCTGAGACACTTACTTCTTTCTCGCTGACTTTCCACAAGTAAAAAGCTCCAATGCCTCCAAAGAGCAGCAGAACGGCTCCGGCGATGAAGGCTACGACCGCCGTCTTCTTCAGACGCACTAAGCCTCTGGGCTTCAAGCTACTGTTAGCCTTATTAAGCACATATTGTTGGAATATAGACAGAAATCAAGTATGTTAGATGCATAATGCGAAGTTTAAAGATAAAATGAAAGCATCACGTACCTCAAAAGGAACTTTTTCGGATGTTTCCTCCATGGCGTTCTCGCGTCTACTGAAAGCAGAGCTTTGTGACTTCGTGGAGCTTCTCTCAAGTTTCTGTCATGTAGGTGAGAAAGAGGAAAAATTCTGGGAAAATAAACAAGGTCCTGGAGAAACCCAAGAGTGGAATACCTCTCTGGGGATTTTCTGTGGCCTGAGAAAACACGCTTCAGACTATTCATGCACAGTTTGACTGAATTTGTGTAAATTGACAGGCAAAAAGAGACCCGGTATACCTGAATTCACTGTAGTAAATCCAGGGGATGCTTTCGAAAGCAACATTTATAATTAAATTCAACAAAGTCAAGTAAGGTCCTTTAGTTTTACTAAGGCTGGATCTGTATAAGATCTCATTTACGAACACTAGCAGTCACGAAACTCATTTTCATGACTCTTTTGCATATGCTAGAATTACATTAAACTGATTAAATAACACAAATGTTGCAGTGATGAAAATATGTGACACATGAAAACTCTTCTTTGTCAAGCTTTTTTCACTATGAACATTCGCCAACCAGCTTCATCAGGTGCATCATGGGATGCTTTCTAACACTTTTAAAGGAGAAACATGCGTGAGATAAACTAAAACTAAAACCATTAAAAACATTTTACTTGAAATATATATTAATAATAAAAATAACATAATACAATAATACAAAATAAATGATAACCATAATTAAAAATATATTTATTTATTTATTTATTTTAATTTCAGATATTTGCAAGGGCAATATTTTTTATTTTCATTTAGTTTAACTTAATAACTAAAATAACTAAAACTAAAACTGAAATAAAAAATTGATTTTAAAAGTGTACAATACAAATATAATAATACAAGCATACTAAAGAACTAATAAAAAAAGACAAAAGCACACAACAAAATGACTAAAACTTTAAAATTAAAATGAAGACCGAAAATATAAAAACAAAAAAAATGCAAAAAAAAAAAAAAGAAAAAATTATAATAGTATCTCAGTGATACTTTTAATATAACGCAATTTGAAATTTTATTAGAAAGTTCTGTTGTAAGCACAATTTATTTTTCTGCAAAGCCAATATTCAAGCCTTTCAGATCAAATATTTTTTAGATAAATTGTGTCTTTTGACTGGATTTGACAAGGATACAAAACACTGTACACTGTGTTTCCTCATGTTTTCATTTCTTAAAGTAGATCGTTGCTCTAGCAAAGGCAAGGTTATGGGTTCGGTCCGCAGGGAAAGCAACTGATAGAATGTAAATGTGTAACTTGAATGAAATGTAATTCACTTTGGATAAAATCATCAGCCAAATGCATAAATGTAAATGTAAAAAATAAATAACTTGTTCAGTGAAAGTAAATGTTATAAAAGTGGTAACATTTAGCTTTAAAAAACATTTAAAATGTTAGTTTGTTACTCATGCATTTAATCGTTTTAACATAATGCAATTTAGAATTTTATGACAAAATTCAATCGTAAACACAATTTATATTTGTCTATAAAGCTAATGTTCAAGTATTTAATCGGAAGCCTTAAGATTCAAACATTTTTAAGATCATAAATTGCGTCCAGCCTTTTAACTGGTTTTGTCAGGGTTGCAAAACATTGTAGATTTGATCATAACTTAAAAAGAAACAACTTGTTCAGTCTAACTTCTAAGTAAATGTTATAAAAGTGGTAACTTTTTTAGTTTTTAAAAAATGAAATCCAATGTGTGTTTCAGTTTGTTACACATCCAACATAAATGTAAATTTTATGACAAAAATAATTGTAGGCACAATTTATATTTATGATCAAAAATTAAGTCAGAAGCCTTAAGATCAGTAAGTTTTAAGATAATAAATGATGTCCAAAATTTTGACTGGTTTTGACAAAATGTAAATTTGACCATAAATTAAATGTTTTTATTTAAAAAAATAAATAAACAACTTGCTCATTTCAAGTAAATGTTATGAAAGTGGTAACTTGAAAAGTTAATATTATTAGTTACTATTAAAAAATATGAATTGGATGAGTAACAATCTGTAACATACATTAAATATCTTTTTTTTTTTAATTTAAAAAGCTTTTTAAAAATGACATTTAATGTGTTACAGATTGTTACTCATCCAATTATCCATTTTTAATATAATGCAAATTTAAATTTTATGACAAAATTTAATTGTAGGTGGCTAGGTGCAAGATTTAACAGTTTTTAAGATCATAAATTCTGACTGGTTTTGTCAAGGATGAAAAACATTGTAGATTTTACCATAACTTATTTTATTTCTCATATTTTCGTTTCTTAAAAAGAAACCTGTGTAAGTAAACATTATAAAAGTGGTAACATTTGTAGCTTTAAAAAAATGACATTTAATGTGTTACAGTTTGTTACAGTGTGACAAAAAAGTGACTTGCAAACACAATCACATTATAATCATCCAAAACATGCTATGAAAAAAACAACAGGTAATATTGATAAAAATATATTTTGTATATACAAAACATCAACACAGTCAATGATAGTATGTACAGCAACAATATAACAGTGTATCGTATCAGGCTTCAGTAAATCTGCCGGGACTCTCTGTGGCGATGGGTTTGGCATTGTAGATTTTACCATAACTTATTTTATTTCTCATATTTTCGTTTCTTAAAAAGAAACCTGTGTAAGTAAACATTATAAAAGTGGTAACATTTGTAGCTTTAAAAAAATGACATTTAATGTGTTACAGTTTGTTACAGTGTGACAAAAAAGTGACTTGCAAACACAATCACATTATAATCATCCAAAACATGCTATGAAAAAAACAACAGGTAATATTGTTAAAAATATAATTTGTATATACAAAACATCAATGCAGTTAAAGATAATATGTACAGCAAGATTATTACAGTATATGCCAGTATCAGACTGAGGTATCAGGCTTCTGTAAATCTGCCGGGACTCTCTGTGGCGATGGGTTTGGTGGAGTGTGTGAAGACTTGCGCGTCTGTATTCTCCGAGTCTTGTCTCCGCTGTGACTGTGGAGAGCAGACGTGAATGTAATCGTACTGACTCTGCTGGTCTTCTGTAAGGCTGTGCAAGGCCACGCTTCTCTTGGTCTGCGTGTCGTAACTGCTCCTCTGAAGCGTGACCTGTGAGCACGGCCTCGTCCTTGAGAAGGTCGACAGATGTCTGCTATTAACGCTCACAGACGGGCTCCAGCATCTGTCCGAGTGACCCAGGATCCTGCACTCGCTGGTACAAGCCCACAGACCTGAGGAAACACACTCCGGTCAGGACTCAGGACTCTTACACAACTGCCACGGAGTAAAAACAATAACAAAAGGCAGGGCCGAAGTGGGACTAATTTTCAGCCCTGGAGTTTCATGCCTTAGACCGACCCACTTTTTATTTATTTATTTTTTACTGGCCTTTGCGCTTTCTATTATCCATTTTGCATCTATTAATTTTTGCTCACATATCTCCAACAACTGACATTTTTTTTATTTATTTTTGATCCCGCTGTCAGGGGAGTCAAAAGATAATTACGTCATCATCAGGGTTGCCAATTAACTTCAGAAATGGAAGATAAGGGACAATTGTGATTCTTTATCGTTTATTCTTTAAGAAAATAGTGTTTATTCTTGTATTCTTGTAGAAAATAAGTGTTAATTCTTTAAGAAAATAAGGGACAGAATAAGGGACGCTCCAAATATTTGTAGCCTACTGTAACATAATGTAGGCCTAAGTCTGCCTGCAGTTAAAATGTTCTCAGAAATAATCACAATTGTTTTGCTTAACCTATTTATGTACAATTATTCTAAAAAGAATTTTGATGTCATACAAAAAATGTCATCGGCCTGAGTAAATTGTACCAATATAGAATTGTGACTTCACAAGTGTACAACTGGCATGAAATCTGAAAGCGTAACAACTGAAGGTCTATGAAACGTCAGTCAGTAAAGCATTTTAAACAATGGCATTTAAAGTTTTGAACTAAAATATCATTGCAACCATATAGCCTTTGATTGAATGAAAATGCATATTTTTAAATTAAAGAAAACTTAGAGAGTGTGGGCTGCTTCTGGTGCTACTTCAATAATGAGGTCCAAGTTTAACTGATTTGGCAAAATCAAATCACGGACTGTGAAGGGAACTGCCGTCAGTGCGAGTTCCGCTCGCGGTGCAGCGGGAGCAGCAGAGGATTCCGCCTTCCTCAAACGGCTACTTCACAAATAAAACAATGATTTGCACAAAAATAATGATTAATTATCAATTGAGAATTTATTATTGATGTGGTCTGGTGAAAATAATAATATGGGCTGCGAGAAAATAATAAATAAAAAGAGTGGGGCTGCTATGAGTGCAGGCAATCTGGGGACAGCATCCATAATTCAACCCAGTGGCATGACAACACCGGCCCTCGAGGCCAAAAAAAACAGACCAGACGATTAGCCAATCCGGGCCTGACAAAAGGTATTGCAACTTTTTAGCTCACAATTCTGATTTTTTTTCCTGACTACTGCGAGTTTATATCTTATATGAATTTCAATCCATTCCAATCAACAGCAATTGAGTTTACATCTCATAATTTTGACTTCTTTCTTGTATTTCTGAGTTTACATCTCGTAATTTAGACTTTTTCTTGGATTTCTGAGTTTACATCTCGTAATATTGACTTTTTTCTTGGATTTCTGAGTTTACATCTTGGAATTTTTACTTTTTTTCTAAGAATTCTGAGTTTACATCTTATAATTTTTACTTTTTTCTAAGAATTCTGAGTTTACATCTCGTAATTTTTACTTTTTTTCTTGGATTTCTGAGCTTACATCTTGCAATTAATTTTTTTGTTTGTTTGTTTTGTTTCTGCCATGGAATGAAAAGAAAATTGTGACTGAGTAATTGTGTCTTTTTTCCCCCCTGCAATTTATATTGTGAGTTCATGTCTCACAATTCAGACTTTTCTTCTCAGAATTTTTAGTTTCTGGCAATTGTCAATAAACTCAAATCCAGTTGAATTCTTAGTTTACTTCTTGCAATGCGTTTTGTTTTTTCTGCC